AAGCACAGACCACCTCTGCAGTGCGCCCAGAGCGTCTCCACACCTGGCCAGTCTCACACTGATCGATGGGTCGGCCGAGAGTTGATCCAGCTCCATCGGCTCTGAGTTGGCGCAGCTCCAGCAAGCCATCGAGGAAGGGGAGATTGAGGAAGGAGACACAGTCATATCACCTTCCTCGACCGGCATGTGTCTACTGTCCGCGGTGAGAATTAGATCCAATGCCGGCAAGTGCCCACGGAAGCCGCTGAAACCTTCTTCCCCCAATGTGAACGATTCTCCATGAACAGTGGATAGTGTGGATACTGCAGCCTCCCTCGTCCCTCCCTTCACAACAAGCGAAACCACGCGCGGCGGTATCTGTCAGAACTCGCGGTGGTGCGTCAATTGCATGTTTCCTCGTCACAGCTGCACAGAACGCTGTGGCCCAGATCTTCTTCAACCTCGGAGAGTGGCAGTGTAAATATGCTCAGGACGTCATCCAATTTACCGTGCCACCGGGCCTGCAGGGTGTCTCGCGGAAGAGTCAGGGGAGACTGGTCACGCGGTCGGGCGGGTTTCCAAGGGACATGCATCAGGGGAGGTCCTCGTCAGACTGTGGCCTTGTGCTCGTGGTGCATCGAACGGCGCCGCCGTTGTTGGTGTCCAAGATGCAGTCGACGGGTCGTGAAGCCGCGAGGTTGTCTGAGCCAATAGCAGAGCTTGTCTGTCAGACATCCTCTCTCATTGGCCATATAGCCTCCACTTTTGCCCAGACTGGAAGCCACGCTCTGCCAGGCAACCTCCGTGGGGGCTGGCGGACGGAACGGCCCGGCATGGCAGTGGGCTGCGCTAACGGTGGAATCGCATTCAACTGCAATGCCGATGAAAAGGTTGGAAGCATCTGACACCACTACGACCATGCTCAAGATAGGAAGATTTGCGCATTTCGGCTAGATCTTGCGATGCAAATGTAACTTCTTTACGAAAGGAAACGTCAAACTTTTTCCGTGGAAAATACCGTCCGCTCACCCGTTTAGTTCATGCTGCCGCCGGAGCCGGAGTCTTTTTGGCCTTCTCGGGCTTTCGTCCAACAAATATGTACCTGAACCTGTTAATTGAAAGTCACCACATTACACAGAGTTCCCACACTAGACTTACTGAGGCCAGTATGCATGGATACTGTGGTCCTTGCCATCCTTACGGACGTCAATCAGGAAGACCGCCACTTCCTCCGGGGTCCAGTTCAAGGCGCGGGTGAAAGGGGCAATAGACATTCCCTCAACACCCTGCATAAAGTTCTCGTGGTTCCACATACCAAGTTCCTTGAACTTCTTGTCCTTGGGCCATGTGTTCGTCGGCCACTTGTACGTGCTCATACTCACGCCCTCGAACCCAGCCTCAATCATGAGGTCCTTGAGCTTAGGGGGGTCAATCCACGCTGCGCCTAACTTGTTCGACGATTCCATGAGAAACTGGGCCCACTTGTAGAGAGCGTGCTCCGGCTTCAGAGATCCGTCGTCGGATCGGGTGTAGATATCCGTCTCGTGAAGTTCAAGGGAACCGCCGGGCTCGAGGTTGCTGCTCAACAATTCAGCAGTCATCGTAACATTTCAGCTCATATTCCTGAGGAGAAGCCGCCGATGTCCGCGTCAAAGGGGCAAGGATCTTACTCGTAGCATTGCCGGAGAAACTTTGGCCAGTCGCTGATGCTGGACGTCATGTAGCGACTATGGATATACTCGAAAGGCCGCGAGAATGTCCACTCGTCTTCAATGTCGTCGACTTCAAACCGCACGTTAGGAGGCACACTTGCGAGTCATCGTCAGTGAATGGCATACCCGGAAAACGTCGCGTCAGAGTCAAGCTTACTGGCCAGGTTGAGTGGCGGAGAGATCGACACCCAGGACTTCGGCCTCCGGATGTTCGTCTCCGAAATCAATAGCCCAAGTACCTGTGCCCGTGCCAACATCAAGGACACGACCAACTGTTGCACCCTCCTGACACTGTGGAGCGAGACCAAGCCTGTCGTCCAGGGACATGAGACACATGTTATGGATCAAGTCTAGGCCCGTTATCAGTAGTTTTTTGTGTTTTGGATTAGAAACGTAAGGGAGCAATTACCAAGTCTGTCGAGCTCCTGCTCGTCATTCGGCATGTTGTATTCTGGGTGGGATTTTTCAGTGAATGATCCCAACGGCGTTCTTTGTTTGAACTTACTTCCTTCCTTGTACCGGTGGTAGGTCCGGCCATTCTCGCGACGATGTTCTAACAGGGAGCTGAGAAGACTGGTGCTAGACGAGGCAATGCTCTGTGCCGTAAAAGGTCAGTAGCCACGGCTGTCAAGTGTCCAAAATCGACTCACAGCGCCCATGTCAGAGCGAGTATCATCTTGCTGCAGAGCCAAGTTAGAAATCGGCCATAATTGGAAGCGTTCAGGCGTATTCACATACGGCATCATCAACAGCAACCTCCTCTGCAAAATTCGCCGGTTGGCGACACATGCTGACTTTTGGTGTAGAGTTGCCGAATAAGTTGAGTATTTCCGCAACATATAGGAAAAGAAGAAAAAAAGAGAGCAGAAAGTGACAGAAAAACAACTGAGGGTCGACTGATATACTGTGGGCGCTGCGAAAATGGTCCCTCCCACCGGGGGTCCCCTCTTTTTGGCGGATGCGGCGTTGCTATCCCGCACCAACGTGCATATCAACCCATGCTTTTCTTCGCTGTCTTTGTGGACACGGGCACTTCCGCGCGCGAATAAAAACCCCGGCATGTTGGGGCTGGTACGAGGCCCGCATGCTAATCATTACTATTGTTGGCCACGGTCTGTCTGTGGTGAGTGACATTTGCTCTGAGATTGGAATACGCAGCCTGGTACGGAGACGCGATCCTGGCCTGATTGACAGGTGCTGTCGCTTCCGTCCAGTGTCTGGATGGAGTTCCCCTCCCTGTTGGCTCTTGCGGCTGGAGGAGACGCCTGAAGAATGCGCCCAGCAAGGAGAAGCCCCAATATGGAGCCTGGGTACTCGCGCAACAACAACTCATGTGATGGAATAAACCTGCCTTCCCACCGCAAGGGTGGAGACGGCGCGGGCGTGCTGCGGTTGTCCTTTGCTAGGTCCGGGCCGAGTTCGATTTGGTGCATTCTAAATGGATGAAGAAAAGGCACTCGTGGATCGCACTCTGCTTTTATTTCAGTGGGAGGCTTTTTCAGTGAATGTCCCAAAATCCCCACTGCAATGGGAGCTTCCATTGTGAGAAGGACTCGAGAAGTGGGTCTTGGGAAGGACTGGGAGCTTTGGGAAGGCAGTTGTCTGCAGCCAAAGCAGGTGTATGCTGCAAAGGAAACTCGCCCTGCCTCCGTCCTGGACGGGCCTTCCAGCGCCTACCTACTCAGAAAGCTCCCCCTGGCCCAGTCAACCGGCCGCAGACAACCGGCCGCAGACAATTGGATGCAGACAAATGGAAGAACACGAGCCCCTCAGCAACACTATGTGCATCCAGGATTCTCGCCGTGTTTATGTTGGTTCAGACTAGAGAATTCAGGTGACATGCGCTTCGCAGCTGCAGACGCGAAGACACTCATGGTGCGGTGCGGAGTGGATGCTCGGTGAGCCCCGTGGCTGTCGGCGAGCGGCGGTGAGACCGGTGAGCCCGGTGAGCCCGGTGAGCCCGGTGAGCCCGGTGAGGATGGTGAGGTCATGCCAGCTGCTCCACCGAAGTAAGAAGCAGACAACTGCCTTCCAAAATCTCCTACCCCAGCAGGCAACTGGCCACAGACAGCTAGTTGCCTTCCAAAAGCTCCTAACCAAAGGATCCTCCCACTAGCAACTGCTACATGCTTTCCAAAAGCTCCCACGCCAGTGGGAGTTTTCAGGCACCCACTGAAAAAAGCTCACAGCGAACAGAAGCTACCGCGCAGCTGCAACCTTTTCACCTCATCTAAGTGGCTCCTAGCAATTGATTTACGATTTGATGCCCATTCAGGTGCGTCAATGCAAGTAATCGCAAGGTTTACCGGGCCCATTTTATGGTGAGCTCCTCAAGTGCGACCGACGTCCTCTCACCTCTCTCCGCCCGCGACGATGGTGGAGAGCAGTTCCCTGATGCCATCCAATTGTTTCGCTTCGTCGGCGGAAACGTGCCTGCTCATCAGCCTGCGTAGGAAAAAAAAGGTTCTGTTGGGTTCGTAGACGGTGTAGTTCACCTCCCAGGTCCGTTCCGGCTCGGTCACGGCCACGCATGGGACCGGCGTGGTCGGGCGCCGGCTCCCGGCGAGTTGGTTGTCAGCCCGGGCATCGAGCTGCCCCATCAGCATGCAGCAGCTCTGCTTCAAAATCAGAAGTTACCCAATACCATTCTAGTTGGTCCCATGTATCTCTGGTTGCTGTTTGGTTCACGATGGCATGTTTGCCGGATGCGTTGATTCCAAGTATGGACACTTCCCGAAATGAGCAGGCTCCAACTCGTGGAAGCATTATGTGTGAATTCATGTATGACCAGGGAAGCACGGGGGCCTTCTTTCCTCCACAGACAGTTGACATCGAAGCCATGGCCCGGCAAGCCCGACGAATGCGCTCCTGCGGTTGCCATGTGGTTGATACAGTTGGGCAACCAGGAGCGATTCACCCGAGGCAACGACCACCCAGGCAGTCCATGATACATCCTCCTTCCACTTGCTCGACGACCTGGAAACTTCTCCTCGTCACAACCACCGTCCTCTCTCGACATTCAAGCAACTTCATTCAATCATCGGTGAGTCCACCGCCCGATCGAACCAAGCCTGCAGGTTTCCTTTGGCGCTATCGACAACCCGACTTTCTCAATTCGATCGCCGTCTGACCTTGGAAGTTTGCATTTCCCGCAGCGACCCCGACACTGCCACAACCTTTGGCCATTACCAATTCGAAGTCAAGCCCGATAGCCAGACCGATATACCCGTCTCACCGACTTCCAGCACTGAGGCTCTCGACGGATCGTCAATTGATTCTCCCGCTTCGATCGCCACCGCCGTTGCGACGATGACGCTGAATTCAGGCCCCCGACTCCTCATGCCGGGTGCCGCCGTGGATCCAGCCCAAGCGCCAGCCCAAGTCGACGGTACGAGCGACGACGAGCAAAGGCCAGAGACGGTCGAAACCAATACCCTGGGTGGCCAGACGATGCACGCAAACTCCCACAAGTCCGCCTCTCCCGACAACAAGCACGGCCGTGCGATCGCACACCGTTCCAACAATAAACCCCGCCAAGAGGACCTTGCTGCGTCCCCCGGCAAGCTGGCCGCTGATGAACAACCATGGACCGACGAACAGTATCCCGTTGATAGCATTCTGAACTACAGAAAGATAGGGATGCAAGTGGACCTGCTTGTTCGCTGGGGAGGTCCCTGGCTGCACCATGAGCCGACTTGGGAGCCCGAAGAAGATGTCTGGTTGACCGCTCGTCATCTTGTGAACCAATTTTGGACGCCGAACGGCCGCAACAATAGAACACGCCTCCTTGAGCTCGACCCCGTTCATGGCCCCTTCACAGTCAGCCGCATCCTGGCCGAGAGAAAGACGAACCGTCGCGGCCCCCAGCATGGTCAGATCAAGTACCTGGTGGACTTCGTCGGCTACAACAAGCCCGAGTGGACCGCTGCAAGTTGTCTGACCAGGGAAATTATCGAAGAATGGAAGAACTCCATGGAGTAGTCTCACCGAGCTGCAATTTATTTGAAGTCTAAGGATAGGCAAAGAAGTATTATGTCAGAGAAGAGGGCACCTGCGGGATGAAGCGCCTAACCCGGAGAGCCCGCGATACACCTCTGGACCCATTGCAAGGCCATCTGGCGAGGAGTTGCGGAACTGGCAATTCCCTCAACGCAGTCGCAGTAATGCCGAACGTAACAATGCTTGGCTGTTGCCACATGACCAAGAGTCCAGGGCTTAACAGGAAGACCCCCTGAGTTTGGTCTGGGGGCAGTGGAATATGATCATGAGCAATAGGCATTGTTGTTTTTCGGACGGGTAAGAAGACGACACGTGACAGGAGGATAACACCAATTTTGTTCCGTACAGCAGAGCATCCAAGCAATCAAGTTTATTCAGTCTTCGTTCCTCCTGCAACCATCTTCAGCCAGCAAAAGATGTGCTGTCGCCGTCTGCCCTGGCAAAAGGCAAGCCTGGGACTGAACACAGTGCAGGCAAAGTCGTAGATCCCGGGTACTCAGCCGACGTTCTGGTCAATCCCCCAACCACCGTGAAATGTACCCATCCGTGGAGCCGTCTTGAAGTCGGTTGACTTTTGCCCCTGTCTATTCATTACAAATCCATGGGCCCGGGCATTCTTCGCCGTGAAAAATGTTCTCGTGTTCCTCGTACGCCTACCTGCTGGCATCCCCTCCTGTTCGCACCATGATACTATTTGTCAATTTATTCCAGGATAATCACCAGGGTGCACTGAAAACCTCCAACTCGAATATCTCAGTGCGCCAGTCGGTGTATGTCTATCATCTACGACCATTGCGGGGCGTCGAATTCCAGGGTACTCGCTTCACCACGTATATGAAATGCACTCTTACACGCACAACTGGAACTCAAAAAGCCTCCGCATCCAGTAAATCAGTTCTGAGACTTGCGACTGGCCGTGCCCTGATTGCTGCATGTGGGGATTTTACCATTGCCATCTTCAAGGTTGTCTGTCAGACAAGCCCCAGTGCATATAACTGCAGGTCTTCGTGTTGCTGAAGCTCCCCTTGAATCTCCTGGGTATTCTCTGAGTGTCGTCTGATAGATACCATCCAGGGTGGCTGTGAATGGCGGCTGTCATCGAGTTTGCTAAGCGCTGTATCATGTCCTTCAGGTTGAAACATTGCCAGAACCAGTTTGACGTGCCTCACTCTGAGATTGGCTCCGAACTTGACCGTCCTTGGCTTCTGTTCTGTTGCTGCTTAGCATTGTCTCACCTCTCCATCAACGAGCGTGGCGCTCATGATAAGGGTCAACTCGATCTACACTATGGTACTGCCCAGGGGAAACATCCTGAACTGCTCGCCCGGATTCATGTCTTCCGTGTCTAAACATTTCCACTGATAGTTTAGCCGCGACACCTTCGGCCTATCAGGTGCGGTGGGTCTTTGAAAGGGCCAGCGACTGGTTTCGGGAACTGCAAGATGCCAATGACGAGTGTGAGATCCTCGCCCCTCCTCCTCGGCGCTTGGATGATCTTTCCTGTAGTGTGCTCGCAGGAGTAACACATGGCTAAACAAGAGAAGAAGTAGCCTTGGGCTTCTTTTCTAAAGGTGTAATTACCGGTGGTGCATTGGAGTTTGACTTGGGATCATGTCTCCTCAGGACCCATCAGCCCCTTGCTGATAGCCAATCCCATGACTGGATCGAGAGCCCCTTCAAACATGAAGGGCTGGGGAATTTGAGCCGCGGTGTATGTGTTCGTTGTGGGCAATCCCACCGCTTCGCGATCACAAGAGTCACTAGTGACGTAGCAATCCTCATGCTCGATCATGGCTTGAGAGCTTGGATGAATAGCCAAAGCGTCGATGGTAGGAATTACAGCCAGATACCTTGAAACCCATAAATCCTCGCGTCTAAAAGCTGGGGGAGAGAGCTGCTTACGGTTGGTGTCGCCATGGGACCTGCTTTGAACCGAGCATGATGAAACCCCATGGTCCGCGACGAGCACTGTCAAAGAGCAACGTCTAACAATCTCTGTGGTCGGCGAAAGTAGTTTTCCGTTAGAACTGCCCAAGGCATAAGCATTCGGCTTTCATCATTTCAAGTGTCAGTAACAGAAAGACAAGAGGGAACGACGCAAGGCGGAAATAGTACAACGATGATGAAAGCTTCGTTAGAAAGACGCATGATCAGAGATGCCTTGAATACAGCTTTCAAATTGGCGGCGAGGGACTTGACTGAGAGGAGTTCTGGTCAGTCTGATAATAAATTTCCATCATGAAAAAGCAGAGTAACAGCAATGACGACAATACATCCAAGCAGCAATATTTCCAAGCACTACATGTCTCCCTTCTGCCTCCTCCAGAGGATCGTACGGTGTCGTCCCCACAGCCCTCAGGGCCGTGGTTCCCCAGAGCATGCTGCGTCTTGAGCATCGTTGACAGTTTTCTGGGTAGCCTTTTCCACCAAGGTGTCATGGTTCAATTTGGGGTCGTCCACGGCAGAGATTGCTTGCGAACATTAGCATGTCAAATTAATAAAAGGTCCACCCTTCATACGAGTTTTGTCTATCTTCTAGGTTGCTGTGCTACTTTCAAATTCTCAATAACTGAAGAGCGTTGGTGAAGCGTGCTGCAGAAGTCTTGGAAAGTTTAGCATGAGTCCTGGGCGTGAAAGGCGGCTGAACCTGACTTATCAGAGCTGGAGGAATGTGTCACTCCATTCTTTGGTGAAGGAGATGCTGCGGCAAATTGCATCATTTCCATGAAAGGGGAAATGCAGTCCTCCCAGCTTTGGAGTCGCAGTGACCGGGTGGAGTGTTACGCGAGGTAGGAGCTGGGCTTCATCACGTCCAAGTAGTTGTTCATGCTTCTTGTGTGCCACTGTGGTGCCTTCGTTCACACACCTGGTTGTATTGATGAAATCATTTCACAGGCTGGATCTCACCGACAGTTATTGTGGCTGTGTCACGGCTGAATTCGGTCTGGACCGGCTCAAACTATTATTCGAAAAGCCGGGGATCATACCGAGGCCTAATCTACGTCTGCAGAATCCCATCCGAGGTTTAGAGGAGGTTCATCTCGATCTGAACAACTGAGCACCTTTCGAAATCTGGGATGAAATTGTATTAGCCAATCTTACCCTTCAAAGCAACCCTGTCTGTTGATTAATTCGTTATCATGTTTTCCCACTGCCCGCGATATTCAGCGGGTCAGCCCGAGCCACAATATTCACCCTTGAGGGCTGACATTCTGATGGCGGGGGTCCGACCCAGGGACGCCAGTTGCTCAAAGCTCAGCCAAAAGACGGAAGTAATGAGGCCTCGCCATCAATACTTGCCCCAAAACTGTTGAGTCTACAGCTCTTGATCCCTTTTCGCCTTTGAGCTCTGAATCAAGCCTTTGATGATTCGTTTTCTCACATCCAAGAGGACAAAGAACATCACGAACAGGGTGAAAAAAACGTCTTTCCTCCTATTAAAACTAGAACGATACTGATATCGGGACCAAATCATAATAGCAACGCTGTAAAGACACTGTTCTCAAAGAAATGAAGTCTTTCAATCCCTGGGATGGACCAAATCGCCAAAGATGGTAAGCGCTTTTGATTCGCAAAGAATGCGTACCCATTCCTTCCCCCTCCTCGACCATTGCAAGTGTGATCCTATCTCTAGAACGCCAGGAAGATGGATGGGAAGTGTTGACCTCGCTCTCCAATTACCTGTCGCAAATATTATTATGAGCCGGGCAATTTCAGGCCAAAGGTTCAACACTTCGATACAGGGACAGGATTATCGTATCAACATCTGCAGAATTTCTCTATTGATCGGATGCCAGAGCTTCAAAACACTGTCTCCGTTGACGCGCCGCGTTGCGATGTCACCATAGTTTCGTCGTGGAGAATATCACTGCCGTCAACAAACAGACTTTTGATGTTGATCGCCAGCAATGTTCCATTATGCCAAAGCTAAATGCGGATCACGGTACTGCAATCTGGACGGCGCCGTGATGTGCCAGATCTTTTATGTGCTCTTCACTCAACAGTGGATATGTTTGATTATCAGGGAGAGTACCCATTCCAGAAGGTGTCCGTCGCTTCGCAACTTTCCCAAGGGGCTCCTCGTCATCCATCCATTGCTGCATCTAGCTACATATTCCAACCCCCGACGAGATTCCATGCGGCAATCTCAAGATGACCGCCGTCCCCTAGAATATATAAAAAGAGCGACCCATGACCATGTGCTACAGCTTCCATGGCCCTGACGCTTCGAAAGGAATTTGTCCATTTTTGTGTTCCACAACGGGGCCTTTCCTCCCTTCAGCCTGATCCAAGCGTAGCTTGCCAATGGGGGAAAGTCCGGCCAACCGTTACGGTTGTCTTTTCGGTTTTGGATGGTCCTGGATTCTAAAAATCGACATTTACCCCCGAAAGAACTAGAGAAGCGGCCGCTAGGACGTGCTCAAATCGTTAATAAGTTTGCATAGAAGCTCCATCTTGCCCGTGCTGGGATTACAACTACCCTAAGATCTCTGGCATCATCATGTCGCTGTTAGCAGTCCGCATGCTCGAGAAGCTCATGAGCACTTAAAAAAGAATCCAAAAGTGTGTATGACTAGTCGAGCACACCGCCCTAGTGTCATCGATGCGGGCTTTATCGTCGCTCGAGTCCACACCGGCGAACATGGGCAAATAGGATTGAGGGTGACGAGAACGCGATGTCCCGCAAATTGTTCTCAATTCTTACTACTAGAACGACTTTCTGCCCCAAATTGAGTGAAGTGTTTGCCGAGGACCCCGCGGCAATCCATCGCGAAGGCTCCTTGTTCTCATGTGCCTGGGAACAAATCATGCGGTATTAGAACGAAAGGCGTGTTCAACATCTCTCCCTTGCAGCCAAGCTTGGCGTAACGAACGTTCTCAGGATGAGTTGATCAAGCACGCGCTTCACTAAGCTTCATCCGGCTCAGAGCTCGTCGTTGAATACAGGATGGGCATGAAGCGCAATCCTCAAACATGTCCGC